TTGCACTGCCACCTTCCTAGGTGTTGTTAGTTGCACCTTACTTTTCTCCCTTCCTAAAAAAAAATTTTTTTAATCAGGCAGGGCCCAATGAAGTACCCTCTCACAGTCACATAAGCAATCAGAATGTATCAGGAGAATAGCCTTCACGTGTCTCTCAACAGAGATTTCACAGATACTTTTCCTTCTTTCTATGGTGGCAGGTGAAGTTCTGGTCTCAACACATTTCCTTCATTCTGGTTGGAATCATCATCGTTACATCTATCCGAGGACTGCTGATCACTCTTACCAAGGTAGGTTGTATCATTGAGTTTAAATTTCTTATTTGCTTAATTACACGTGGCACCACAAGATAATTTTACCTAATTAAGATTTCTGCCTTCTGAGATCTTAAACAACAGTCACAAATAGTTGGATTTACATCCCACGCCCATCAGATGCGTACTTTTACCAAAGGTCATAGAACGAGATCACGGTCCGTTGCGTTCACTGATACGGCACCAGCATCTGGGAACAGAAGCTGGCATGCAGTAGGTGTTCCAGGGATACTTGGAATGGATGAAGAAGATTGGAGGTATTTGGGTTAGAATTTGAGTATTTGAGGTGTTTGAGGTTAGAATAACTGTGAGGGTCCCTTATAAGGAGGACATGGGAGTAGGAGAAGCAGAATGTTTGGCTATTTTCTGATCAACACAGGAAGGCTTCATGGAGGCAGAAGGTAAATTTTCTCTTGGAGACGAGGCGGGGAATCTCGAAATCCAAGAAGGGCTTGAATGAAACGAGTGAAGAGGTTGGGAGGGGAGGAGGAAGGATGGATCTACAGGCATCTCGCACAATTTTGGAAGGAGCTCAGGAGCCTAGTAATAATTATAAGAGCTTGGAGTGGCCTGAGGTAATCTGCTCTAATATTTCATAATGATATGAAAGTCATATGTGTCACATAGTTTCTGACAAACTTGATACAGATTGGAATCCCTTCATGTCATAACGTAATTCTTAAAACCCCCAAATATCCCTCTGAGCGCAACATAGCAAGCAGTCTGTTTCTCTTCATGGCGTTAACTGTACCAGTCGTTCCCTATGGGATTGCTGCATGGAAGAGACTTTATTTTTTTAACGTTTATTCATTTTCGAGAGACAGAGCATGAGCATGAGCAGGGGAGGGGCAGAGAGAGAGGGAGACACAGAATCCGAAGCAGGCTCCAGGCTCCGAGCTGTCAGCACAGAGCCCGGCGCGGGGCTCAGACCCATGAACTGTGAGATCAAGACCTGAGCTAAAGTCGGACACTTAACCGACTGAGTCACCCAGGCGCCCCGGAAGAGTCATTTTTAATTATGCTACTTAATGCTCTTGACACAAGTGTCTAGCAGTACCGCATAAATTCTCCTCCCTTTCTTGACAGTTCTTTTATGCCATCTCTAGCAGTAAGTCCTCCAACGTCATTGTCCTGCTGTTAGCCCAGATAATGGTAAGTTTCACGAACTAGCTTTATGATTATAACTGTAAAATACCAGAAGTGTTTTGTACTTCTGAATATTTTAACAATTCCCTTTGATCCCTGACCACAAAGTGACCTCCGGGTTAATTTGTTTAACTTCTAGGGCATGTACTTTGTCTCCTCTGTGCTGCTGATTCGAATGAGCATGCCTCTAGAATATCGTACCATAATCACCGAAGTCCTGGGGGAGCTACAGTTCAACTTCTATCACCGTTGGTTTGATGTGATCTTCCTGGTCAGTGCTCTCTCCAGCATACTGTTCCTCTATTTGGCTCACAAACAGGCACCAGAGAAGCATATGGCACCTTGAACTCATGCCTGTTACAGACTGCTACGGGCCAGTAGCGTCAGAATTTGGATTTAAGAGAAAACAATGGAGGGGACCAGGGCCTAATATTTTTTAAACAATCAAAACACTGAGGTAGCAGATTCTACCTCCAGCTTATGCCTTCCTCCTCAGCTGATACTGTGATCATGTAGCATTAGCTAGAACATGAGCGTGAAGTAAACTCAAGCTAGCCCTCAGCGGAGCGCATCCCACGTGGGTTTGAGGCTGATGCAGCATGGCGGAAGAGGGGTGTAAAAGAGCCAAGAAACTAGTCTGGGAGAATACACTGGAGCCCTAGGGTAAGGGGAAGTCTGAGGTAGCTGGGCCAAACACACAGGATCTCTGTCAAGGCTCACACGGAGGAGGTTCTGGCTTTCCCTTAAGATTGACAATCATTAAAATCAGATTGGAACCCTTTGGCCTTAGCTTCATTTTATCAAGGATAGCTTGGTAGTGTGCTTGTGTGATCTAACGTGAGTTGGCATCCCCCAGCCAACCCCCGCCCCATAAAAATTACCAACAGGTTATCTGTTCTTGTCTGGGGATGGAATGGTGTGCTACGGAAATAGATTCTACCGAGAGAGGTCAGGTATATCATCTTTATTGATTTCCTTTTAAGTCCGTATTTGAGAGTGAATTACTGTGCATTCAAGTTGGTGATGATGTCTCAGTTTTTTTTTTCTTTCCATCTGCCCCCTCATGCTGTGGGGTAAAACAATGAATAACTGTTAACTGGAATAAGTTTTCCTATTGTAGACCCTACTTTTCTCCATCTGTGAAAGGGAAATGTTGGGAAGTTTATAGAATATTCAGAAATGCAATTTAAGGAAATCCTGAATTTTATTGTGCTGGGACTTCCAGAGGCAAAATGAAAGTTAAAGCATAAAAGCAAGTTTACCAAAAACAAAAGCACTATTAAGGTTTGATCAGCTAACAAGGAAGACTCTACAGGCATTCTTAATGGCATCTGTTTTAGCAACCACAACATTCTTACAAAACCATAATTTTAATAGGCTTATCTGCTCAGATACTATAATGAGCTCTCACGTGTACAGATTTGTGAATCATCTTTGGTGCTCAAGGAGCCTATAGAATTAAGAGATAGCATCATACAAAGAAATGTAGTTAAGTTGAAGCTTGAAAGAGATCACTTGAAAAGAATCTGGTTCCTGCCTTAAGTTGACCATAAATAAGCCATCTATTGCGGTATCTGCCCCCAAGGCAAATGACCACAGAAGAGAGTCACACGTGATGAACTGGTTCCCAGAGGAGCTCTTCTCTAACAGAGACAGTAAATGGGTGGCAGCTCATTCCTTGGGAAAGGATTCTTACTGAACGCCCAGAAACAGCTGTCAGCCAAAGCCATTATTTGCTCTCATCACATCTCTGTGTCTTCAGAATTGGAAGAAGAATGTGAGGCTGTACTGTGCGCCTGTGCAAAAGAGAACAAAAGATCTGTAAGTGCGAGTATGAATGTCAGCAGTTGCATGACTTGAGGCAGGGAGTAGAGTCCCTCACTAGAAGCCAGGTAATCTGGATTTTACATTTGGCTTTGTTTCCAGCTTGCTGTTTGACACTAACAAATTTCTTAATGTCTATATATCTTTTCTATAAAGATAGCACAGTCCTATAATTGACTTGCTACAGAGCTATCACTGAATTTTTTAAAGACAACTAGAATGCTTTCTTCGTGAAGCAGTCACGAATGCAAGGTCAGTGGCTATTATGTGTGCTGTGGTCTGACTGTATGTCTCCAAAATTCGTCTATTGAAATACTAATCCTGAGGTCAGGTGATGATATTAGGAGGTAGGACCTTTGGGCGGTGATTAAGTCATGAGGGCAGAGCCCTTGTGGTTGGGTTTAATGTCTTATAAGAGAGCCCCCAGCCCCCACCCCCCACCCCCAGAGCTCCCTATCCCCTTCTACCATGTGAGGACATAGCAAGAAGTTGGCAGTTTGCAGCCTGGAAGAGGGCCTTCTCCGGACCCGAAAGCTGTCAGTGCCCTGATCTTGGATTTGCCAGCCTTCAGAACTGTAAGAAATAAATCTGTGTTGTTTATAAGCCATCCAGTGTATGGTCTTTTATTATAGCCCTCCAGACTAAGTGGGTATTCATTAACAAATAGTATTTAATTTATATTACCAATAATAAATTGTAAATAGAGTAGAATTAAAGGTAATAGAAAGAAGAATGATGCAAAAGACTTATCAAGGAATTTAATCCAAATACAGAGTAATGCTTATTCCTCCCTAGCAATAATACACCGCCAATGATCTTAAAAACAATATGTCCCTAAACACCACAGTTCATTTTCATGCTTACCATTAACCAGGCCCTGTTTGAAGTGCTTTAGTCTTAGATAATATAATCCTAATAACAGTCCTACAAATCCTCCTTGTTTTACAGGTGGGGATAATGAGGCAAAGAGAAAATAAATCCATTTGCCCAAGGACGTTAAGTGACAGAACCAGAATTTGTACATAGCTAGTCTGATTCAGGTTCTTCTGGTGGTTCCATTATAATTTTGATAAACTTACCTTCTCTGGACAGTTACTGTCAACTCCATGCTATGAAAAAGAAACTTGTCCTCATACCACTTTCTCTCCACCAAAATGACTTATCTTTACATTGTAATTTTCTAGTATTCTAGGAAATCTGTGGCAAACATAGACCTAAGGTGTACTTATGAAAGACTTTATCATACTCTGATAGGTTAGATCACTGAGAGAAACCTATCACCACTCACTCGTTCTTTTGCCATGTGTGAGTCGTGCTCTGGTTCTGCCAATGTTCCTTCTTTGGAATCAGGGGGGGCATCCAGTGGATCAGCCATAGAGGAAACGATAGGGATTTTCTTAGCCTGGAAATAATCATAGGCCTTCTTTCCACAGACTAAGAGTGTGACATTCTTCCCACTATTCTGGATTCTGTCCACCACTTTCTCATAGGGTTCTTCCAGCACCTTCCCTCCATTCACTTCGATGATGATATCCTCATCCTCCAGCCCTGCCAATTCGGCAGGGCTGCCCTTTTGTACCTGTGAAAAAGAGGTTCTGAATTATCACTTCCAGGCACAGATAAGGGAATGTTAGATTGGCTTCCCTTCAGAGGAGAGAGGGCTTTGAGAATTTCTTCTTAACCATGTTATTTCTCCTTGAGGTACAGAAGAAAGGAGCTCTAATGCTTTTCTGCTTCTCAAAGCTTCAACTTCCATACTCCAATGAATACCATTGGAGGGGTCCAAGATGATAGCACAAGACTCTGAACTCACCCCACCTCACGGACACCAAATCTATACCTACATACAGAGCGATTCTTCCTAAAGAACTGAGGGCTGATTGAACAGTATCTGCACAATAAAGGACAGAGAGACCACATAAGGAACGGCAGGAGACATGGAGACACGGTCATGATGAAAACCGCGCTGCACGAGCGACAGAGCACGGAGGGGTCTGCACACAGACTGGGGTGCAGCAAAAAAGCAGTTTAAAGAGCAGCTAGACTAACTAAAGGGAACCAACTCACTAACCCTAGAGCATCCACCAAATGGGAGGGAAACTGCTGAACTTCTCCAGCGTCACAGCTACTGGCAGGTACCACTGTTTACATTCCGTCTCCACCTTGATAGTGCAGACGGGCCCAGGGCCAGGCACCCTAGCCATCCTGCCACCTCGGCAAGCCCTTGGACCTTAGCCCACACCAGCGCAAGGCAGCCCCAGGATGGCACCCACCAGGACACCCTCAGCCTTTGCCTGCTACAGCTCCAGCTGTGCTGCCAGGGCACAAAGCACCCCAAAATACCATCCCCCGCCCCCAGCCCAGGCCTGCTTCAGCCATGCCACCGACGCTGGCTCCAACCAAAGCCACCAGGCACACACAGTCTGCACTGGGGACATTTCTACACAAGGCCACTCCTTTAAGACAGAGAGAGGTGGCTGTTTTGCCTAATTCATAGAAACAAACACCAAAAGTCAAACAAAATGAGGAGAACAAAAAATATGCTCCAAATGGAAAGAAGACAAAACTGAACAAAATGGAGATGAGCAATCAACCTGCTGAGTGGATGAACTCAGAACTTACAGAATATATTTTCTATCTCTTTAACTCTGATTGGTTTTTTCTTAAAATAACTGGAAAAAATACACCAGAGGGAATCAACAGATGATACAGAAGAATCAGGTAAGTGATCTGCAAAGACAGGTAATGTGGAAAGCACCCAAACTGAGCAACAAAAAGAAAAAATTGTAATTGAGTTTAGGTTAAGGAATCTCTGGGAAAATCTCAAGCATAGTAACACTCATGTCATTCCTGTCAGAAAGGGACAGAGAGCCTATTTGAAGAAATAATCGCTGAAAACCTCCCTAAAACCTGGGGAGACACTCAGGTCCAGGAGAGCCCCAAACAAGATGAACCCAAGGAGGAACACCAAGACCCATAATAATTTAAATCTCAAAGATTAAAGATAGAGATTCTTAAAGGCAGCTAGCTACATACAAGGAAATGCCGTGAGGCTCTCAACTGATTTTTCAGTAGAAACTTGGAGCTAGATGCCACTCTCCCTCGGGCCTGTAAAGGGCTCAAAGGAAAAAACCTACGTGCAAGAATGTTCTACCAACCAAGATTATTTTCAGAATTGAAGGGGAAAGAGTTTCCCATACAAAAGTTAAGGAAATCACAACCCTTAAATTAGCCTTGTAAGAAATGTTGAAGGACCTTCTCTAAGCAGAAAAGGCCATAACTAGAAGAAAATTATGAAAGGAAAAAATTTCACCAATAAAAGCAAACCTATAGTAAAGGTGGTAATCAGTCACTTATAAACCTAATATGAAAGTTGAAACACAAAAGTAGTAAAATCAATCATATCTTTAAAAAAAAATAAGGAATTTACAAAATAAAAAGATGTGCAAAATAAGACATGTGTTAAATGTGGAGAGGAGGGAATAAACATGTGCTTTTAGAATATACTTGAATTTAAGTGACCATCAACTTAATATACACTGCTATATATTTAGGATGTTATGTAGGGACTTCATGGTAACCATAAACCAAAAACTATAATTGATACACAAAAAATTAGAAAGGAATCCAAGCATAACACAAAAGTCATCAATCACAAGGGAAGAGAACAAAAGAAAGAAACAGAAGAACTACAAAAATAGCCAGAAGACAAGTAACAAAGTGTCAGTAGGTACATGCCTATCAATAATTACTTTAAATGTAAATGGTCTAAATGCTCCAATCGAAAGAGGGTAACTGAAGGGATATAAAAACAAGACCCATCTATATGCTTCCTCTAGGAGACTCACTTCAGGCCTAAAGACACAGGCTGAAAGTGAAGGGCTAGAAAACATATACCATGCAAATGAAGCAGGGGGTTGGGGGAGAAGCCAGGGTAGCAATACTTACATTAGATAAAATAGACTTTTTTTAATAAGTTTTTTTTTTTTAATTTTTAATGTTGATTGACTTTTGAGAGAGGCAGAGAGAGAAGGAGACACAGAATCCAAAGTAGGCTCCAGGCTCTGAGCTGTCAGCACTGAGCCCAACATGGGGCTCAAAACCACAAACCATGAGATCATGACCTGAGCTGAAGTTGGACACTTAACCAACTGAGCCACCCAGGAACCCCAATAAAATAGACTTTAAAACAGACTATAGCTAGAGACAAAGAAAGGCACTACATAATGATAAAAGGAACAATCCAACATGTAACAATTATAAATATCTATGCACCCAACATAGCACCAAAATACATAAAGCAATTTTTAATATACATAAAAGAAATTGACAGTAATACAATAACAGTAGGTGATTTATAACACTCCACTTAGATCAGTGGATATATCATCCAGACAGAAATCAATAAGAAAATGGGGGCTTTGAACAACACATTAGACCAGACAGACTTAACAGGTATATACAGAACATTCCATCCAAAAACTGCTAAATACACATTCTTTTCAATTATATATTGAACATTCCCCAGGATCGCATGTTAGGCCACAAGACAAGTCTCAATAAATTTAAGATTGAAATCATATCCTACATCTTTTCCAACCACAACAGTATGAAACTAGAAATCACAAAAAAAAAATCTAAAAAGAACACCAATATGGAGTTTGCTACTCCATGTAGCTACTAAACAATGAATGGGTCAACCAAGAAATCAAGAAGGGGGAAAAAAAACAAAAACATGGAGACAAATGAAAATAAAGACACAATTCAAAGCCTTCAGGATGTAGTAAAAGCAGTGCTAAGAAGCTTATAGAGATACTGCCCTAAGAAATAAGAAAATTCTCAATTTAGCCTTCTACCTGAAAAAGCTAGAAAAGGACCAAAACCCAAAGTTAGAAGAAGGAAGGAAATAAAGATCTGAGTGGAAATAGAGATGACAAAAATAGAAAAGATCAATGAAATCAAGACCTACTTCTCTGAAATATAAACAAAATTGTGTACTTTTAGGCAGACTCCTCAAGAAAGGATTCAAAATGAGAAATGAAAGAACTTACCAGCAACAGCATAGAAATACAAAGGATTATAAGAGACTATTATGAAAACTTAGAAGCCAATAAATGGGACAACCTTCCCTCTTGCCACTTTTATCCAACACAACACTGGAAAACCTAGGCACAAGAATCAGACAAGAAAAAGAAATCAACGCATCCAAATTGATAAGGCAAAAGTAAAATTATTATTTGCAGATGACATACTATACATAGAAAACCCTACAGACTCCACCAAAGAAACTATCACTATTCGTGGGTTCAAGCCCTGTGTCGGCTCTGAGCTGTCAGCACAGAGCCCGACGCGGGGCTCGAACTCACAGAACGCGAGATCATGACCTGAGCCGAAGTCGGCCGCTTAACCAACTGAGCCACCCAGGCGCCCCTAAAAAAAAAAAAATTTTTTTTTAAGATATAGTACAAAGCTACAGTAATCAAAACAGTGTTGTACTGGCACAAACAATAGACACATAGATCAATAGAACAGAATAGAGAGGCGAGAAATGATCCCATGCTTATTTGGTCAATTAATCTACAACAAAGGAGGCAAGAATATACAGTGGAGAAAAGACAGCCTCTTCAATGAACGGGGCTGTGAAAACTGGACAGCTACATGCAAAACAACGAAACTGGACCACTGTCTCACACCATACACAAAAATAAACTCAAAATGAATTAAAGACCTAAGTGAGAAACCTGAAACCATAAAAATCCTAGAAGAAAATGTAAGCAGTAATGCCTTTGACATTGGCCTTAGCAACATTTTTCTAGATATATGCTCTCAGGCAAGAGAAATAAAAGCAAAACTAAATTATTGGGACTATACCAAAATAAAACAAATTTACACAGCAGAGAAAGCATCAATAAAATGAAAGAGCAACCTACTAAATGAGAGAAGATATTTGCAAATGATAACACCAGCACAAATAAGTTGATTAAGAATTGGGCAGAGGCCCTAAATAGACATTTTTCCAAAGACATGTATATAACTGACAGGCACATGAAAAGATACTCAACACCACTGATGATCAGGGAAACACAAATTAAAACCACAATGAGATATCCTCACACCTGTCAGAATGGTTAACATCAAAACAACAAGAGATAACAAGTGTTGGCAAGGATGTGAAGAAAAAGGAACACTCATGCATTGTTGGTGAGACTGTAAACTGGTGCAGCCACTATGGAAAATAGTATGGAGGTTCTTCAAAAAATTGAAAATAGAAATATCATCACTCATATGAGGACTTTAAGACACAGAACAGATGAACACAAGGGAAGGAAAGCAAAAATAATATAAAAAAAGAGAGGGAGACAAAACGTAAGAGACTCTTAAATATGGAGAATAAACAGAGGGTTACTGGAGGGGTTGTAGGAGGGGGGATGGGCTAAATGGGGGATGGGCTAAGGGGCATTAAGGAATCTACCCCTGAAATCATTGTTTATAAGCTAACTTGGATATAAATTAAATATTAATAGGGCGCCTGGTGGCTCAGTGGGTTGAGGCGTTTAGGCCTTGACTCAGGTCTTGATCTGCGCCCAGTCCATTGAGTTTTGAGCCCTGCATCCAGGCTCCTGTAGCTCAGGAGCCTGGAGCCTGTTCAGGTCTGTGTCTCCCTCTCTCTCTGACCCTCCCCTGTTCATGCTCTCTCTCTCAAAAATAAATAAACATTAAAAAATTAAAAAATATATATTTTAAAAAAATTAAATAATAATAAATAAAAATTTTTTAAGAAAGAAAATAGAAATACCATAGGTTTCAATAATTCCACTACTAGGTATTTTACCCAAAGAAACTGGAAACACTAATTTGAAAAGATACATACACCCCCTATGTTTATAGCACCATCATCCACAATAACCAAAATATGGAAACAACCTAAGTGTCCATTACTCAGCCGTTAAAAAAAAAAAATGAAATCTGCCATTTGAGACAACATGGATGGACCTAGACGTAAAATAAAAGAAAAAAATACCATATAGTTTCACTTATATGTAGGATCTAAAAAAAAAAAAAAAAAAAGGCAGAAACAGATCCATAAATAGAGAATAAACTGATGGTTGCCAAAGGGGGAAGGGATTGGGGTGATGGACAGAACAGGTGAAGGAGAGTAGGAGATACAGGATTCCAATTATAGAATGAACAAGTAACAGAACAAGTTACAGCAGGACTATGGTCAATGATATTGTAATAGTGTTGTACAGGGACAGATGGTAGTTATACTTGTGGTTGAGCACAGCATAACATTTAGAGTTGTTGAATCACTATGTTGTACACCAAATAGAACATGTGTCAACCATACTTCAATAAAAATAAATAAATTGGACAACCTAGAAGAAATAGAAAAATTTCTAGAAACAGAATCGTCCAAGACTGAGTCAGGAAAAAATAGAAAATCTGAGCAGACTGATTACAGGTAACAAAATCAGGAATCATAAACTCTCAACAAACAAAAGTCCAGGATAAGATGGCTTCACAGGTGAAGTCTACCAAACATTTAAAGAAGAATTAATACCTATCCTTCTCAAAGTATTCCAAAAAAGCAAAGAGGAAGGAAAGCTTCCAAATTCATTCTACAAGGCCAGCATTACCCTGATACCAAAACCTGGCAAACACACCACACACATACACAAAATTACACACCAATATTCCTGATGAACATAGATGCAAAAATCCTCAAAATATTAACTGACCAAATTCTACAACACATTAAAAGGATCATTAACCACAATCAAGTGGGATTTATTCCAAGGATGCAAGAATGGTTCAATATCCACAAATCAATGTGATACACCACATTAACAAAACGAGAGTTAAAAATCTAATGACCAGCTCAATAGATGCAGAAAAAATATTTGACAAAATTCAGCATGATAAAAACTTAACAAAGTGGACTTAGAGGGAGCATACCTCAACATAATTAAGACCCTATATGACAAACCCTCGGTTAACGTAGTCGGTGAAAAGCTGAAAGCTTTTCCACTAAGATCAGGAGGGAGACAAGGATGTCCACTCTTGCCACCTTTATTTGACGTTGTACTGGACGTTCTAGCTGCAAAAATTGGAAAAGGAAAAGAAACAAAAGACATCCAAATTGGCAAGGAAAAAGTAAAACTGTCACTATTTGCAGATGACATGAGACTATATGTAGAAAACCCTAAAGACTCCACCAAAAACTATCAGAGTAAATGAATTCAATGAAGTTGCAAAAGCGAAAACATTAATATACAAAAATCTGTTGTGTTCCTATACACTAATAACAAAGTAGCAGAAAGAGAAATTTAGAAAACAATCCCATTTACAATTCCATCAAAGAGAATAAAATACATAGGAATAAATTTAACCAAGGAAGTTAAGAAAGAGTTTTAAAAGACCTGTACTCTGAAAACTGTAAGACATTGATGAAAGTGGAGATGGCACACTTAAATGGAAAGACATTCCATGCTTATAGATTGGGAGAATAGCGTTAAAATGTTCATACTACCCAGAGCAATCTACAGATCCCATACAATCCCTATCAAAATTCCAACAGTGGTTTTCTCCAAACTAGAACAAAAGATTGTAAATTTGTGTGGAACCACAAAGATCCCAAATAGGTAAACAATCTTAAGAAGAACAAAGCTGGGGGTCTCACAATCCCAGATTTTAAGGTATCCTCAAAGCTACAGTAATCAAAGCAGTGTAGTACTGGCACAAAAACAGACACATAGATCAACGAACAGAACAGAGAGCCCAGAAATAAACCCACGCTTATATGGTCAATTAACCTACAACAAAGGAGGGAAGAATATACAGTGGGGAAAAGACGGTCTCTTCGATAAATGGTGCTGGAGAAACTGGACCACTTCCTCATACCATACACAAAAATAAGCTCAAAATGGATTAAAGACCTAAATGGGAGACCTGAAATCATAAGACTCCTAGAAGAAAACACAGGCAGTAATTACTTCGGCATCAACCTTAGCAACATTTTTGTAGATCTGTCTCCTCAGACAAGGGGAAAAAAGCAAAAAGAAACCACTCAGACTACATCAAACTAAAAAGGTTTTGCAGAGTAAAGCATCAACAAAACGAAAGGGCAACTTGCTGAATGGAGAAGATACATCCAATGACGGGTTAATATCCAAAATTATAAAGAACTTATACAACAACAAATAATCCAATTAAGAAATGCACAGAATGGGCGTCTGGGTGGCTCAGTCGGTTGAGTGTCCAACTTCGGCTCAGATCATGATCTCGTGGTCTGTGAGTTCAAGCCCTGCGTCGGGCTCTGTGCTGACAGCTCAGAGCCCGGACCCTGCTTCAGAGTCTGTGTCTCCCTCTCTCTCTGCCCCTCCCCCGCTCATGCTCTGTCTCTCTCTGTCAAAAATAAACGTTAAAAAAAATTTTTTTAATAAAAAATAAAAAAAAGAAATGCGCAGAAGACCTGAATAGGCATTTTTCCAAACACATACACATGCCAGGAGACACATAAAAAGATGCTCACCATTATTAATCAGGAAAGTGCAAATCAAAACCACAATGAGATGTTACCTCACACCTATCAGAAAAGCTAGTATCAAAAAGATAAGAAATGACAAGTATCAGCAAGGATGTGGAGAAAAGGGAACGAACCCCTGTGCACTGTGGGTGGGAATGTAAATTGGTGCAGCCACTATGGAAAACAGTATGGAGATTCCTCAAAAAATTGAAAATAGAAATACCATAAGATCCAGCAATTTCACTTCTCAGTATTTACCCAAAGAAAACAAAAACACCAATTTGAAACTATCTATGCACCCCTTTGTTTACAGCAGCATTATTTACAATAGCGAAGATATGGACGCCACCTAAGTGTCCACCAATAGATGAAAGGATAACGAAGATGGGGGGAGGGAGGGGTCCACAATGGAATATTACTCAGCCATAACAAAGAATGGAATCTTGCCATTCACAACAACATGGATGGACCAAAGGCAGACAGAAATCAGCCTTATTATTTCACTTATATGTAGAATCCAAGAAACAAAACAAACATTCAAATCTAGAGAAAAAATTGGTGGTTGCCAAAGCAGAGGCAGATGGGGGAGGGATATGGGCAAAATAGGCAAAGGGGATTAAGAAGTACAAGCTTCCAGTTGTAAAATAAGTAAATCACAGGAATTAAAAGTACAGCTTAGGGAATATAGTCAATATTTAATAACCGTATGGTGACAGTGGTAACTACACTCACCGATGATGAGAATTCGTAATGCATATAATTGTGAAAATGCTACATTGTACACCTGAAATTAATAGAACATTGTATGTCAACTATACTTCAATTTTTAAAAAATCATGAAGATCATCAGAAGAAAATAAGTAGCATTACAGTGGTTGAGTACCATATTGTAGGTCTTCTGAGTTGGAGCATTAATTAGATTTCATAGGTTCCCTTCTTCATTCCCAACTTGAGAGCTATGGGGATAGTCTCGCTGTCACTCCCTATAGGCTGGGGGCGTTACGCCAAACGCACAGGAGTAAACAAGTATCACTCCCAGTCAGACTTGGTAGTGACTGTCAACTACAGTCATGTCGATTCACTCTATTTGACGTGAAAGTACCTAAAGACAATTAGATGTTTAAGAAAAATAAAAGATGTGAGCTTAGGATGTACTCGTCACTACCTTAAAGGGTCCGGGACCATGGAAGCATTTATTTAAACCCAAGTGAGACCGTCAATGTAGGCCTTCAATGTAACCTAAGCCATCAATGAGTGGGAGAGACTAGGACTCTCCTAACTGTGGCGTGTTCATTGGGCTGCTAGAACCAGATTACCATACCTCTTTGACGAACGAGCCTGGCCGACCCTGAATGGTGTTTAAGTGAAAGCCATAGCCATTTTCACCTTTAACCAGCCTGCAGAGTTTAGGCTTATGATCTCCTACTTCCTCTGTAGTATCTGGACTTGAAACCTCCACAGGAGCGGGAGCCGGAGCGGGAGCCGGAGCGGGAGCCGGAGCCTCCTTGACAGAACCATTAGGCAGTTCTTGGCTTTGATAGTAGAGAAATGGAGAAAAGTGAGCCTTTGGAAAGGAAAAGAAAGGAAAGGGGAAAAAAAAAAAAAAACAGTTTGACGAAAGTACCTAAAGACAATTAGATGTTTAAGAAAAATAAAAGATGAGCTTAGGGATGTCACTACCTTTAAAGGGTCCGGGGACCATGGAAGATTTATTTAAACCTAAGTGAGACCGTCATCAGGCCTTCAATAACCTAAGCCATCAATGAGTGGGAGAGACTAGACTCTCCTAACTGTGGCGTGTATCTTATTGGCTGCTAGAACCAGATTACTATAAATTTTTGACGAACGAGCCTCGGCTGACCCCTGAATGGTGTTTTCTTTGTAAGAAAGCCATAGCTATTTTCAGTAACCAGCCTGCAGAGTTTAGGCTTATGATCTCCTACTTCCTCTGTAGTATCTGGACTTGAAACTTCCACAGAGAGCGGGAGCCGGAGTGGGAGCTGCAAGCGGGTTGAGCCTCCTTGACAGAACCATTAGGCAGTTCTGGCTGATAGTAGAGAAATGGAGAAAAGTGAGCCTTTGGAAAGGAAAAGAAA